TTACACCTCAACATAAAGAAAACAAAAATCCTCACAACTGGACCAATAAGCAGCATCATGATAAACGGTGAAAATATCGAAATTGCCAAGAATTTCATTTACTTGGATCCACAATCAACACCCATGGAAGCAGGAGTCAAGAAATCAAACGATGCATTGCATTGGGCAAATCGTCTGCAAAAGACCTCTTTAAAGTGTTAAAAAGCAAAGATGTCACCTTGAAGGCTAAAGTGCGCCTGACCCAAGCCATGTTGTTTTCAATCGCCTCATATGCATGCAAAAGCTGGATAATAAATAAGGAAGACTGAAGAAGAATTGATGCCTTTGAATTATGGTGTTTGAGAAGAATATTGAATATACCATGAACTGCAAAAGAACAAACAAATCTGTCTTGGAAGAAATATAGCCAGAATGCTCCTTAGAAGCAAGGATAACGAGACTACGTCTCACATACTTTGGCCATGTTGTCAGGAGGGATCAATCCCTGGAGAAGGACATCATGCTTGGTAAAGTAGAGGGTCAGTGGAAAAGAGGAAGACCCTCAATGCGATGGATTGATACCGTGGCTACAACAATGGCCTCAAGCATGACAACTATTGTGAGAATGGCCCAGGACTGGGCAGTGTTTCATTCTGCTGTACATGGGGTCACTATGAGTCAGAACCAACTCGACAGCACCTAACAACAACAACAACAACTCAGGACTGCCAAAGCATATAGAGACTAAAACAGTACAGTGCTGGCTTTCTTGAAACAATGTAGATTACATATTCAGCTAACTCAGTTGGTAGAGAGTGAAACTAATCCTCTCAGGGCTACAGAGTCTGCTGTTTTTTGTAGTCAAGAGAGGAAAATACACGAGCTGAGACTGGAATATGAACCGGTAGTAATCATATCTAGGCTCTGGTAACCAGCTCTGGCCTCAGTTAACTGAGATTTTGGACACCCTTTTAACATATCTAAACTTCAGTTACCTCATCTGTAAAGTGAAGGAACTTTATGCTTATTTTTAAAGTTTCTTCTAATGCCCAAATTATGTGATTTCTTGTAAACCTTTCCCGTCTTGTTGTAGTTACCTAGTGCTGCTGAACTAGAAATACAAGTGAGTTGTTTTAAAAAACAGACAAAAAACAAAACAGAAAAACGGTTCAGAAGGCTAGAAGTCCAAATTCAGGGCACAAGCTCTTGGGGAAAGTTTTCTGTCTCTGCCAGCTCTAGGGGAAGATCCTTGTCTCTTTCAGAGTCTGTAGCCAGCACCTGTATCCCTGGCTGTCCTCGGTTCCTTGGCAATCCTCACATGGCATCTATCCCCCCCCCCCACCATTTACACTTGTATAAAAACAGCTTGGGGGCTGGGTCTGACCTCCCCCAGCTCCACAAAGGGAAGGATAACCAAGATGAACAGCACAAGGCTGAATCCCATGAGGTGGAAGCCAGACAAGCCTCCTCTCTCCACCACCTTTACTCATTCTGACACCAGCCGTCCCTCGCACATCACTCCCTACTTTCTCTGCTGGGTTCGATAATTCATTGCAGTGGCCACACAGAACTCACAGACCATACTCACAGTTATGAGGTTTATTAGGGAAGTAACAGTTACAATTCAGGCTCAGGAACATTCAGGATACAGGTCGTCCATCAGGACAGCTTCTTCCCAACTGTCCTTACAGGCACACCTCTTCCTGGCCCTAGGCCTCTCCCCAAAGGCACTCAACTTTCTCCATGGCCAGGAAGCCCACCATGCTGTCACCTGCTGCTGGCTCTCTCTTGCCACCGCTTCCCACCGTCTTCAGTGTTACGCTTGCTCTCTCCCTTGGTCTCCTGCTTCCAGGAGCTTCTCAGCATAGGGATCCTGGGTCCAAAGAACACGCTCTCTGCCCCTGGCTGTTCCTCCTTGGTAGTGGTAGGATCCTCCTCCCTGCTCTGGAATTGGCTCTCTTTTAATGCAGTACTGACCTATCCCCTTGGTGGGCCACGATTACCTTATCACACAGTCCTGCCCAGTCACCTGGGTTGGGATTACAACACCATGGCTAGAAAGGCCACACAAAAGTTATCAATTGCACTGAAGCTTGCTTGTCTATACCACTCTTTATAACTCTGAAGTGATTAGGTTTAGCACACAACCCACAGTGATAGTGACTCATTAACATAACAAAGAAAACCAGACAGGATTACATCCACAGGTATGTTGTCATTGTAGGACTGCCCCATGGGGTTTCCTAGACTGTAATCTTTATGAAAGCTGATCACCAGGTCTCTCCTGTGGAAAGGCTGATAGGTTTGAACTGCCAACCTTTAGGTTAGCAACTGAGCACTTAACCATTGCCACCACGGGTCCTAGTCCACAGGTATAGGGGTTAGAATTCCAACACATATCTCTGGGGGACACAATTCAGTCCATAACAAGTCCAAAAATACATTTTTTAAAATGCACTTTTTAAAAATTTAAGTTGACCTTCAGAGAAAGAAAGGAGCCCTGGTGGCGCAGCAGTTAAGCGCTGGGCTGGGCTGCTAAACAAAAGGTAGTCAATTTGAACCCACTAATCTGCTTCTGTGAAGAGTTATGGGGCAATTCTGTTCTGTCCTATAGGGTCACTATGAGTCAGAATTGACTCAATGGCAGTGGGTTTAGTTTTGGGTTTGAGAGAAAGGTTTGAACTGGTTGGATACTTTGCTCATTACTGGAATGTACAAGAGATTCCTACGGGTTAAGAAGTGTTTTGTAACAAATCAACTTTCCCCATATTGATATGAGATAGGAAATCAGTAATAACTTAATCAGATTAAAAGAAAAGATCTGAAGATCTTAGGAACTGTACTATGATCCAGTGACAGCTTGCATAAGATGGGCGTCAGGAGACCTGGGACTTTGCAATTAAATTTCTGTGGTCTTATGCAATATCATTTTCTTAGCCTCTATTAAATCCCAGGCATTGTGTTAGGTGCTCAGAATGAAAAGATAAACAAGACATAATCCTGGGCCGCAAAGAGCTTATCATCTTGTGAGGGAGATGGTTGGGTAAGCCAATAGTTGTAATATACTTAATTAAGTGTTATGATAGAGATAAGAAACCAAAAGGTTGGCAGTTTGAACACACCCAGAGGTGTCTTGGAAGAAAGGCCTGGTGATCTGCTTCTGAAAGGTCACAGCCTTGAAAACCCTAAGGAGTTCAGTTCTAGTCTGACACACATGGGGTTGCCATGAGTCAGAATCAACTTGAAGGCAACTGGTAGAGATAGAAAGCATAGAGTAGTGCTTCTCAAACCTGGATGCACACTAGAATTTCCTGGGGAGCTTTTAAAAAACAGAGATGCTTTCTTAGTCATCTAGGGCTGCTACAACAGAAATACCACAAGTGGATGGCTTTAACAAGGACAAATTTATTCTCTCATAGTCTAGGAGGCTAGAAGTCCGAATTCAGGGTGCCAGCTCCAGGGGAAGGCTTTCTCTCTCTCTCGGCTATGGGGAAGGTCCTTGTCATCAATCTTCCCTGGTCAAGGAGCTTCTCAGTGCAGGGACCCCGGATCCAAAGGATGTACTATTCTCCTGGCCATTGTTTATTGGCGATATGAGGTCCCCCTGTCTCTTTGCTAACTTTTCTGTTTTATATCTCAAAAAGAAATTGATTTAAGAAACGACCTAATCTTGTAGCTTGGGTCCTGCCTCATTAACATAATGCCGATAATCCCACCTTATTAACATCATAGAGGTAGGATTTACAACACATGGGAAAATCACAATCAGATGACAAAATGGTGGACAGTTACACAATACTGGGAATCATGGTCTAGCCAAGTTGACACATTTTTGGGGGACACAGTTCAATCCATGACAGATGCTATTGCCCTATCCCCCTCAGAGATCATGATTTAAATAATCTGGGCAGTGTCCCAGGGAACTGGTATTTTTAAAAACTCTCAAGAGGATCTAGTGCACAGCTAGGATTAAGAACCACTGAGATAGAAGAAGGGCACCAAACTTAGCCCTTAGGACAAGTAGACAATGATTAAGCAGACAAACAGAAAAGAGTCTTTTGGGCAGTGGAACAGCTTTGTGCAAAGGCATGGAAATGGCGGCACTCATGGGGTATCATGGGAACCATAAATAGTTCTGCAGAGCTCAATGTAGGATATATGGGGAGTGGAGAGTGTAGTGAAAGATGAGATTGGGAGATAGGCAAGACTTCATACTGAAGTCAACGGGAAACCAGTGACATGACATTATCTCATTTCTCTTTTAGAAAAAATAGCTTCAGTGACACTTTGGAAGATGGATGAGAGGGACTCAAGTGGGGGAGAACAATTAAGAGGCTGTGGTAATCCAGGCAGGAATGAGGGCCTGAATCAAACCAGTGGTACTGGGAAGGTATGATATTCAAAGAATAGATAACAAGGAGGCAGAATCAATAAGGCAGTTTGTTGTGGTTGGTGAGAGAGTAAAAGGACTCTAAACGAGTCAATTCCAACTCGTGGTCATCCCACGTGTTACAAAGTAGAACTGCTCTATAGGGTTTTCTTGGCTGTAATCTTTATAGATGCTGATTGCCAGGCCTTTCTTTCGCAGCACTGCTTGGTAGGGTCAAACCACCAATCTTTAGGTTAGTAGCTGAGTGCAAATTGTTTGCACTGCCCAGGGACTCTATGGCATATAATTTTCCTTTTTTGTATCTACTTTTGCTCACTTGCCATTGGTGAATCTGCCCAGAATTAAATGTTTCATACATGGAGAGAAGCTCCTTTTAATGGACTTGTGAACAGCATCAGTGTGGCTCAAACCTGGTCATTTCAAATTCAAAAGCAATCAAATAATCAGAAGCTGTTTACAATCCTTAAGTGACTAAATTCCTGATAAGTTTAAGGCCAAGCATCTAACATTTCCACCCAGATTGTGTGGGGAGAGAGAGTAGCATTAAAACAAAGGTTTGAGAGATTTTAATTAACACAAACGGCCAAGCCTAGTGTTTAAATCTGTCCAAACCAAATGGTGCGAAATCCTCCTAATCCTTCAGAGCTTCGTCTGGCAGTGACCTCAGAAGAAAGAGTCTCCCTCCTACATCATCAAACTGACTTCTTTTAGCTCCTTGTTCTGTGTTGATCTTTGATCCCAGATTCCTCTAAGACATGAAGAAAAAGAAAAAAAAAAGACAGCTGAAACATCGAGTACTGTGGCACTCACTTTGCAAATCCCCTAAGAAAGTTAAATTAGAATATATGTTAACAGATGAATTCCAAACATACACACCCACTATCTAAACAAACCTTTCAAATGATTTTGAAAATCAAAGTTCTTACCACATTAGGTTGGTTTTTGCCCGTGGTTGCTCTTCCCGTAGTTGCACTGCCCATGGTACCTGATGGGAAACACTAGGAAAATGAGAGCTTCCTTTGAGAAAAGGACTGTTTTATTTTGAATTGCAAGACTGTTACCATTCATCACAGTATTGTATAAATGTATGGCTGACTCTGGTATTGGCGTTGATGTGAAATTTCTAATTGTTTCAGAATATAACTTCATTAACAGTATTTTTAAAGTTGAAGTGGCAAACTTTTTTTCTGTTGAGAACCTCTCTGTTCCACAGGGAAAAATAAAATCATTTGCGGATTACATGCAACTAAAAACAACTTTGAGAACCTATAAAGTACACTTCTAATACAATTTTTAAATAAAAAATGAGATGATAAATCATACACATCCTCAGATAACCCAGATATATTCCACCAAAAAAAATGGTTAGTTGTGAACAGGAGAGAACAAACCAAAGATAAGGGGTTAGGGGGAGAGAAGGAGAAGGCAGAAGGAATGATAGGCACAAGCTAAGAGAGAGAGAGAGAAGGGAGGCACTAAAAACAGAAAAGAGGGAGAATGGTACAGTACTAAGTAGGCCCTGTAGTTAACCTGTCCTAAATTAGGGTCCTAGATTAGTGGCTGCAACAATGGACTCAAACATAGCAACGATTGGGAGGATGGCGCAGGACCAGGCAAAGTTTCGTTCTGTTATACATAGGGTTGCTATGAGTCGGAACCGACTAGATGGCATTTAACAACAAAAAAGATTAGGGTTGTCAGACTAAAATACAGGACACCCAATTAAATTTGAATTTCAGATAAACAACGAATAATTTTTAGTAAAGTGTGTCCCATGCCCTATTTGGAGCACACTTTACTAAAAAAATTGTTCATTGTTTATCTGAAATTCAAATTTAACTGGGCATTCTCTGTTTTTGCCGAATGTGGCAAACTTATCCTAGACATCCTGCTGCTGTCCTAAGCTGTGTGCAAGGTAAGCAAGTTATGGAATCTATTGTCACTCACTGAAATAATCATAATATTAATAAAGCTAAAGTTTACTTTCTTTTCAATTCAAAATTTATATTTAGGGAAAGACACTATTTCCCTCCTAGACTTCTCTGGGGTTTTATAGGAAGTGAAAAAATAACTTAGTTTAGGAATTAACTTCATAACCTACTAATACCATAAATCTAACTTTGACATTCAGAAGGTTCAGGTTGCCTCAAAGCTTAAAAAGCCTGTACTTGAGAGCAATATTACTTATCAAGGACCCAGACTTGAGCTAGCTGTGGGTTTCCGCCCCTGCCTTTCAGCATTTTAGCTTAACACTACTATTTTCCTTTCAGCAGCCCCTGCTGAAGTGTATTTCAGCCATCAGGAAGAGTAATACTAAAGTGAAGCAGGTGTAAAGGTTAAAGTGGGAGGGATGACTTGTTTTCAGAACAGAGGGAGTTATAGAGTAAATAAGATCTCAAGAGTATTCATTTCCCACCTCACTGGGCTTTCATCTAAATTTATAAGTGTAGCATATTATTCACAGCCAATCTTCAGATTCTTCTCTAAATTTAAGGAAATGCTGAGAGTTGGGGGTTGGAGGATGGAAAAGCAAGGCTATCAGAATCAAATGTCTTATCACCAGTTATATTATTACTGAAGATAAATCTCTTCTTTAAACACCAGCAGGTATGATGGGAAATTCAGTTGAATTTAAAGATTGTTTCATGCCTGTGCTCTCTAAGATAGGTGACTGCGAAAGGCCACAAACTGCCCTGCTGACTCCACAGAAGCTAGTGAGGGGCTGCCATACACCTTGGTAAAATTGTAATTTTACACTGGTGGGGAAGTAAATCCCTTCAAATGTGACCTGTCTCTGTCAAGACCAAAAGGAAAGACTTCATTCTAGGTATAAGCAACAGAAAAACATTTTTCTCTTCTCTAAGACTAGATGATGCAGTGCGCTAAACAGATAAGACTGACATTGGAAAAGTGGCAACCTGGGCCTCAGGGGAATTTGCAGGTTAGGATTGTTTGAAGTACAATAAAGTCAGTAATATTAACACAGCATTGCATTTTGCTAACCAAATCCCAAATGTATAACACCACTGTAATGCAGTCAACCAGTACACAGAATACTGGGAAGAGGGATTCTTGGCCAAGAGCAGTGGGGTAAATCCTCCCACTACTTGGAAATGTGTAGAACAGAAGGTCCTATACTTCAATTCGCAGGAAGGTGTGTCCAAAATTAAATTCCACCCTTTCTTTAACAAAGATTTGTGAAATTCAATTCTTTTGTATAAAGTACTTAAACTAAAAAAAAAAAAAAAAAATCCACCAACTTGTGCAAGTGCCCAAACCAGTTTTTAATTCACTGTCTCAATCATCAGATTTATCTGTCATAGAAAGAAACAATAATAGATAGGGATTGTGGAGAAAGTGACAGAGGCTTTTTCGAACAGAGGAAACTAGTTCAGGCAGTAGAGTAATAGGGAAGGATTGTGTAGAACACTAAGTTTAATATGGTCTAATCAAGACTGCCAGTAATATATCTTGGTGCCACAAAACATGGCAGAAAATACCAATTGTTTGTTATTTTTTTCCCTTTGATATATAAATGTAGCACATTTTGTCCTAAGGGCAATAGAAGGCCAATCTCTTCCACAGCATTTCACATTTCCTAACGATCATAATTTGTGGACTTGAAGCCTGGATGTGGTTGGTACCACCTACTGGGCTAACTATAGAATTACAGATTCTGACTGTCAACTTGTTTTGGAACCATGGTAGTTTTTTTAATTACTAAGTGAATTAATATTAGGGAGTATGATTCTTCATTGGGAAGATTGTGCATTAAACAGTTGATATATCTGAATTCAAATCACAGCCTTTATAGCTGGAAGAGGCATCGGAAATCATATACCATACCTTGACACTATTGTTTTATAGTGATACAGGAAATGAGCTTTGGCTATGGTATCAGAAGCCTGGCTTCTCTGAGCTTGTTTCTTGTTCTGTAACATCCACATGCTCTGTAACGTGTTATGGTTGTTTTAGATAAAGAAAAAAACTGAAACTAAATGACTTGCCTGGGTCATTTAACAGGTGAGCATCAGAGTAAGGACTGCAACTTGTGTATCTGAGTCTAAATCCAGAGCTTTTTCCATTAAATTACAATTTCCCGAAATTTGATGGTGAAATGATTTTAGGTGGCAACTGAGATAAAATTAGGAGATGATGGAACACAGCAATAAGTACTATAAAACACTGTGAGAAAATTATTCCCTTTTCAATTCTTTCAAACTTGATGGCATCAAGAAGAAAGTTCCAGTGTGGTACTAGTTTTCTTTTTCTATTGTGCTTTAGATGAAGGTTTACAGAGCAAATTAGTTTCTCATTAAACAATTAATACACATATTGTTTTGCAACATTGGTTGCCAACCCCACGACATATCAACACTCTCCGCTTCTCGACCTTAGGTTCCCCATTATCAGCTTTCCTGCCCCTTGATGCCTTCTTGTCCTTGCCCCTGGGCTGGTTGTGCCCGTTTAGTCTTGTTTTATTTTATGGGCCTGTCTAATCTTTGGCTGAAGGGTGAACCTCAGGAGTGACTTCAGTACTGAGTTAAAATGATGTCTGGAGGCCATACTCTCAGGGTTTCTCCAGTCTCTGTCAGACCAGTAAACCTGGTCTTTTTTTATGTTAGAATTTTGTTCTACATTTTTCTCCAGCTCTGTCCGGGACCGTCTATTGTGATCCCTGTCAGAGTGGTCGATGGTGGTGGCTGGGCACCAACTAGTTGTGCTGAACTCAGTCTGGTGGAAGCGGTGGTAGTTGTGGTCCATTAGTCCTTGGGACTAATCTTTCCCTTGTGTCTTTGGTTTTCTTCATTCTCCCTTGCTCCAGACTGGGTGAGACCAGTAGACATATCTTAGATGGCCACTCACAAGCTTTTAAGACCCCAGACACTACTCACCAAAGTAGGATGTAGAATACTTTATAAACTATGTTATATCAATTGAGCTAGATGTCCCCCAAAACCATGATTGGGTACTTGATTTCTTTAAAACTCTTTAAACCTTGCTAATCTCAGTTCCTAATAAAGATTTAGTGGGCCTTAAGTTTCAACATCTTGCTGGGACATTAAAATTTTGTTTTCTGTATACTTACTGTTTTCCTACTATTACAGAAAATTATGTTGGTTTTTCACTTAAAATAGTAATATAAATTTATTTCCAAAGAATTCATTTAAGAAATTAAAGAAGCCAGTCTAAACAGAAAATATTGAATAAACAATAGTCTAAGTGATATATAAAGTTTGGTAAACACTGAGTGCCACCAAACCACCTTTCTACCATACCACTGTTGATAATAATCGCTTAACTCAATTACTTTAAAAATCCCTCTCTGAAGAGAAATAATATTTTTTCTTTTTTTTTTTCCTTTCCAATAATCAAACACTGGGTTAATAGTAGGTCAAAACCCTTTGCCATCGAGTGGATTCCAACTCATAGCTACCCTGTAGGACACAGTAGAACTGCCCCATGGAGTTTCCGAGGAGCAGCTGGTAGATTCGAACTGCCAACCTTTTGGTTAGCAACTGTAGCTCTTAACCACTGCGCCATAATTAGGTCAACACAACCAAAATCTAGGACTCAGTTAGATGTCAGATTCACTTGGGCTCAAACAAACCCAACGATTTTGTGTATGTGTGTGTTAGAAAATGAAACTGACCTACAATCGGTGCTCAACAAATTCGTAATCAATAAAGCATGGGACCAATGGGTCACTCATGTCTGTGGCTGCATTCATTTCTGGTAAATGAACAGCTTAATGACCTATCACTTAATGCTCCAGGAGCATATGAGGAGAGGTGAGAAGAGAGTTTTGATCTGTGGGCTGTTCCAGTTCAAAGTTGATTCAATGTTCTTCTAGCAAGGAAAAAAAAAAAAAAACCTCCTGATGTGATCAAGTGGAATGGAACCCTTCACTTTAATATTTACTAATCTTGGTTTGATTTGAATCTGGAGCTAAAAGACTTTTGGGTCCTTATTCTATGAGTCCCTTGATGACCTTCAGCTAATTTCAAATGAGGTAAAACAGGGATTTCTCCTAATAACCTTCTTCTCTATCTTTTTTATTTGTATCATAATGACTTTACACTGCTTCTGGTTGCATTACAGGTTCTTATTTAACATCATCTCAAGCTTTCTGCTGTTCAGTTCTTATCAAAAGATCAGTTGCCTGAAGAATAGGTAGCCCATCCAATCTTCTAGATTTTCTAAATTTTACCTATGGATCAAGCCAGAGTGTTATATACTTAGACCAAATTGTCTTGAGCTGATCCAACACTTTTTTGAATTTTCAATTCAATAATTTCTTATCAGATTGTTCCAAAGAATAGAATAAGAAAAAGTCTAGGAAATTTAGATATGAATTTCTTTTAGAAATATTGTTGAGGACATTGGCTACTATATCACACATATGATATCTGCCCCTTTAAAGGACCTGAAGGAGAAATTTCTCTCAGGTCTCAGTACCAGGAAAAGCTATGTTTCTCCTGAGCAACTGGTTGGTTATTACTTCATGGACACCATAAATCAATGTTTCTTTTTGCTAGAAATCCAGAACGAACTTTGTAGCCTACCCCTATCAACTATATTATACATTTTCCATTGTACATTTTCATGTATTTACCAGACTTCAGTTATTTTCATTTTGCCTTGATTTACTCATTTATTTAATCACATATATTGTGTGTTTTTATAAGCTGTTCAAGTCCTTTTTGGAATAAGACTGAGAAAAAATTAGAAATATACATACTCATACTGATAGAACATCATTTCTCATAGTATGCTTTTTTTTTTAAAATACAGAGTTCAGATTCATAGATACTTGAAATTTTAAGAATCCTTTCTGCTACCTCTTAAAGCCAGTCCTCTATGCTATTTCTTATGGTAAACAATATGATTTCCTCTAATGATGCCATAAATTCTTTGGGTGAAATCACCAACATTCCCAGAGGCACATTTGGATTGGTGAACCTCACAACCATGGTCAGATGTCTATCTCCTTGACCTTCTGCTCTGAAGTAGCAGTCTATTCCAACAAGATTGGTGAGATCAAACAACTCTAATTCCTAGGAAAGAGGGGAAGGTGGGGATGGGGGAGCTAACATTTTATTGAGTGCCAACTCTGTATCAGCTACATCACTAAGTTTATTATATATTATCTAGTCTTTAGAAAGGAGAATTTAATTTCCACTGGAGGGAATCCTTACCTTGGCATAAGACCTTCTGAATAGTAATATTGATAATGATAGTGATGAAATTTATTGTGATAACACTAACTTACCACATGCCAGGCATTGTGCTGATCAGTTTACCGGTAATGAGAGCCCCAATGTGAAACAAAACAAGACAAAGCCTCAAACTGTAAACCTATGCTACTCTACCTACCTTGGGATCCAGGAAGATTTAAGAATGCTTGCTTTGGCTCAAAATTCTGCTGTAAGTACAGTGATAATTTCAGGTCATTGGGCTTCTGATAGTTCTTCAAAGCTTTAATTCTCAGCTCAATCACTTTGCCATGAAAGTCATTCTGCAAGAGAACATTTTTCAGAAATACTCATATAGTATTGACTTCTTGAAATCCACTGTTACATGAATCTTTTTATACTCAGAAGTTACAAAAATGATTCCATCATGTTCCGTCTTTAAAAGTTGGGCAGAAAGTATCTGTGATTATTCCCATTTCAAATAGAATACAATCAAGACCACAGGAAGAAATGCTATTTGTTACAAGTTGCTCAAGTTAAAGCCAGCGATAGGTCCCTCCAGCCATCTCTGCATGATGCATTTTTTATAAGCAGGACAATTGTTTGTTATTCCAGAATGAGGGGATTGGTTTATCAGTAAGAAGCTAAAAGCCAGAAAGTCTGCTGCCACTGCCCAAGGCTGGCCTTGTTTTTAGGAAACATGGACTTGCTCAACTCACCTCAGGTACCTTTCAGTATTTTTAAAGTTGAGGGCCCCATCAGATAAAACTAGTCATTTGACTTTATAGTATATGAATGAAACTGCATCCCGTGTTCAGCCTTGGAAGACTTTAGTACCTGAAGGATGTTGGCTTGTTCCTGATACCTGACCCATTCCATTTTCCTCTGTTGCTTTTCCTGGTGGAAGAAAGAGTCTCTGGGTAACAAAGTAAATTGAAATCAGAAATCAGTTTTCTCAATATATATTGCAAAATCATTAAGCAGCATTATGGTGTTATAGATCTTGTGCCTTATGGATAATTATTCACTAAATTTGGATTCAACTGTATACCTCTTATTGGGCTCACCTCTACAGTCCACTCTCCAAAAACTAAGAGCTAAATGAATAGGGTCATTTTCTGTAAATGAATTAGTTATGAGAAGATTGCATACAAGCATGACACCTATAAATAAATTTTCAAGAATAAATTAGCAAGTGTTCTGACATCACATAGCTATTGTAGTGTTGTTATTGTTAGTACAGCTTCTCCCACTCTACCCTTGCTAACATGACTTCCCAGAAACTTACAAGGTTACTCTGACTCAAATATTATATCCCAAGGGAACTGGATCTCCTATAAAAATTTGCATTGGTTCAGGAACCACCATAGCATAGGCAGATTACTGTTACACATTGAAGATTTCTAATCTATCAACTGAAAAAGCAACTACCATTCAGAAAGATCGCTCTACCTTCCTTATCTCCTTCACTTTCTCTGTACATGATGCCTCCTGGTCACTTCTGGTCTTCCTAGATGATGAGGGGGGTTTGGGAGTCAGGTATGAAAGAAGAGAGCTAAGGGAATAGGTGGCCCTAGGAAAGAAGTGCAGATAGTAAATCCAATATATCCAGATCCTACCTATTTGTCTACCCAAACCAGCCCTGATTGTCAACTGTCTGTTTTCAGCTGTGTGACATCAGCAACCTTGAAATTCTAAGTCCATGAAGTCCACTTGCCTTTCCATCCTGCAACTCTACCTTGCTTTTTATCTGTGGTGCTTTTTGTTGATCAGTGGGTTCTTCTGTTTCAAATGTCTGTGGAGAGACATTTTGACAAAGCTTAAATTAGTGATTTGAGGGAATGGTCAAGGCTTTTGGTTCCTGCTAGCAAGCAATTTCTCAAAGCTCAACATGAAAAGTGTGCTACTAAAGGGTGCTCAGAATGAAATGAGTCCTTCTATTTTAACCTTCAAGCGTACCTTATAAGAACAAAAACTACTTACTGAGTCATTATATGCTAGACACTACACTAAGTACATTACAAACATTCTCATTTAATCCTCACAGCTCTTTGAAGAACTATCTTTATTTCCATTTTACAGATGAGAAAACTGGGACTTGAAGAGGCTAAGTCATTTGTTTAAGGTCACACAGCTAGGAAAGTACTGAGCTGGGGTTAGAGCCAGATCTCTGACTCTGAAGCTTGTGATTTTAATCACTAAGCATGCTGCCCTTCTCCATTTCTCTCTAAAAATATGGGTTGGGAAAGTTGATCACAAACTAAGATATATGGACATCCCTTGTATAAAGTCTTTGGGAACTCTGGAGAAGCTGGATTTTGATAAATAAATTGTGCTGGAACATTTTTTTTTATTGTACTTTAGATGAAGGTTTACAGAACAAACTAGCTTCTCATTAAAAAGTTAGTACATATATTGTTTTATGACATTGGGTAACAACCCCATGACATGTCAGTACTCTCCCTTCTCAACCTTGGGTTCCCTATTACTAGCTCTTCTGTCCCCTCCTGCCTTCTAGTCCTTGCCCCTGAGCTGGTGTGCCTCTTTAGTCTCGTTTTCTCCCATGGGTCTGTCTAATCTTTGGCTAAAAGGTGAACCTCAGGAGAGACTTCATTACTGAACTAAAAGGGTGTCCAGGGGCCATACTCTCAGGGTTTCTCCAGTCTCTGTCAGGCCAGTAAGTCTGGTCTTTTTTTGTCAGTTAGAATTTTGTTTCCCATTTTTCTCCAGCTCTGTCTGGGACCCTCTGTTGTGATCCCTGTCAGAGCAGTCAGTGGTGGTAGCCAGGCACCATCTAGTTGTACTGGACGCAGTCTGGTGGAATCTGTGGTAGTTGTGGTCTATTACTCCTTTGGACTAATCTTTCCCTTGTGTCTTTAGTTTTCTTAATTCTCCGTTTCTCTTGAAGGGGTGAGACCAGTGGAGTATCTTAGATGGCCGCTCACAGGCTTTTAAGACCCCAGATGCTACTCATCAAAGTAGAATGTAGAACATTTTCTT